CGCGCATTCCCATCTCTATAGTAGCTATAATTATTTTCTTGCGCATCGAGCAGGCGCCGATAGCGGTCGACATAATAGAGGAGAAATTCTGGTCGGAACAATAATTCGTGCTAAATATAGGTAGCGCGTGCGGCGTATTACGGTCGGCCGAGGAGAGGATGGATAAGGAGCGGGATCGATACGGAGACAGTGAGTGGAGACGATGAAGAAGTGGAAGAGACGAGGAGGAAACGGGTTTTCGAGTTTCTTGCTCGACCCATCGTGGCCGACGTGGATGTGGCCGAGATGATGATGACGCCGAGCTTGAGGATAATGATGATGATGATGATGATGATGATGATGATGATGATGATGATGATGGCGACGGTGATGGTTTCCTCGCGCTCCACCACCGCAAATCCTCCAGGCGTCTATCGCGAAGCTCGATATACACGGTCTAGCCAATTACCATTCGTGGCCAAAGATAGATTAAGGCCTTCGTTATGTCCGTCTATATTTAAACTTCTATTTCTTGCCTGGTTTTTTTGACCAACCGTGTCATTTGCATACCCGTAATAAGTAGATTTCGATTGATGATATCGCGAGTTTCGAGGATAAAATCGGGCTCGCGATTATTCTCTTGGATCGCGTGTCGCGCGAAGGTAATATCGCGTAATGCCGAGTTGGATAAGAAAACGTTTGGAAAATTGGCACGACGCGACGATCGTTAAACGATCGGACGGTGGGGTTAACGACGCATGGGCGATAAATCGGGGAACGGTTCGAGAACGGTTTAGAGAGGCGCCACTGTAACGGTGAAAATGAATGGCAGTGATGGCGATTGGAACGAGCGTTCCACGGATGCGGGCAGGAGGAAGAACGAAAGAGAATCGAAAGACACGCGATCGGCGGGAGAGACCCTTGGGGAAAACCGGAGACAGACGGTGATTATCTTATCGAATGACACCGCGTATCGATATAATTTCAAACGGACTGTATAATTAGCGAAGGATTATTTATATATACATATATATATATATTTGCAGGAAAAGAAAGGGGGAAAAAGAAAGAGAGAAGGATGGGCGCAGGGAGGAGGAAAGAAAAAGCGAGCACGACAAAGCGGGTAGCGAGAAGGAAGGAGGTTGTTGTAACGTCGCTTCGGGTCCGGGAATAGATGGTAAACTACATGGCACTGGTCCGGTTGGCGCGCACAGCGAGCAAAACGAGTAGCCCGCCAAGAAGGAAAAGGAAAAGGATGAGGAACTGGCGCCGGCGCTCCGCGTTTCTAAGCGGTCTCGACTCGCTTCTTGAAAATTAGCCGGACGCACGTGAAAATTGCCTGGCGGCGCGAGTCGAGCCGTTCGATTTACGCCGGCGACCCAGCTCTCGAGATTCGCTCGAGCCTCGCCAATTTCCAGATCCCGATTCTCGCGGAATTGCTACACCTTGTTAATTCTGATCTCTCTCGTGCCTGTCACCGTATCGATGTAAACCGATCCACGCCTGTGTTGTGTTGGGATTCTTTTCTCTTCTTTTTCCTTTTTTTTAAATCGTTTTTTAAACGTCGCTTGCGTGTCTCCACTTCGATACTTTTGTTTATCCGACGATAATCGTTCTAAATTTAAACTTAAATTAAATGCGCGGTTTACTTTTCGATAGGAAATATCTAGATATTTTTTTTTTTTACGATCGATCGATGAAACTCGAATTTTTTGGAATTTTTCTTTCTCTTTTTTTTTTCTTTTTTTCTACCTATCAAATAACAGATTTGCATCCGCAAAAGTCTTTCGCAAGGTATTGCAAAAGTCAACGACCATAACGGTTAGGTTGCGATGCGACTGGTAAATAGAATCGTTTGCAATTTAAGCGCTCTAAAATCTGCTGTACGCACGTTTTCGTACAGTTACGCGTTGAATACTCATTGCAATTGTCGAGAATTGCACCCGAACAGTAGTCCATTTCTTTTCTNNNCTCGATTTCTTTCGGCAAGGAACACGACCGAATGTTATAAATAGCACATNATATATATATATATATCGTGTGTTTTAAAATCACGAATAATCTTCTTAGTATTTCGTGTCCCCGTTAAACGTCGTTTACTTCCGCGTTTATTTTATATAATGGCGAAATTTTTTTCCAAATTCGTTTTATCTGGCGAGAATAAAAAAAGAAGAAGACGTCGCATTCGTATTAATCCGTATTTACGTAGCGGCGAGAAAAAAAAAAGAAGCAAAAGAGATGAAACGGAGTGATTTCCGAAATGCGAATGTATCGAGTCGAGAACGTCCTCCAACTTGCTTCTGTCTCAAGATCACGGCCGGTTACCATGTTTTATTTACGCGATCGTAAATATCGGCGTAATCCTTCGGAAGGTCGTAACGCCGCAAAATCACAATTACGTCTGGGTGTTGTACATTAGTCGGCACGTTCGATGTCACGCATCTAGAGTGGCGTCGGTAACCGCTTAAAATTCTGTCTTCTCTTTTTTCTCTTTGAAAGGTTGAAGAATGCGTTGCATCCTCGCTACATGAATTATTAATGGAGATCTCACGCGACGATCGGCTCTCCGTTCTGTTGTTGGCCGGGCAAGCTCGTTTCCAGAGTCGGCGGATAGAACGGATTTGGATCGTCTTCGCGAGCTTCTTTCACCGTGATACAGACCGACCGACCGCACGTTTCTTTCGCGATTCGTGTGCGTGATACCAACGTGTCCGCAAAGATAATTCCACGGAAGGATCGGTTTTTGCTGTCACTCTTGTCACTTATTTCTCCGGCCACGGGGAGCCGGCGGAATGCTCATGTTCATGGAAGATTCGCGGAACAGGCGCCTGAAAAATCCGTGCTATTTCTAGTCGACGCGAACATCCGCCACCGGTTCACAAAAACCGTTCGGGTCGATTCGAGTCTTTCTTTTGCATCCTTAGAAACGGTTTCTTTCTACTTGTCTACGGATACCGTAAGCGTAATTGTGAAAATCGTTAGGAACAGTTTTTACAATTGCATTCTAAATGAGAACTGTTGAAAATACGAAATATGTCCGATCTTTTTCGAACACTACTCGTTCGTGACGATTTCTTCTCCGTTCGAGAAATTTAATTCGAATTCGTACGTTTCTAAATTTAGATTTAGAATTTCGAATAAAAAAATTCAACCAAAATTCTAATTTCCGATTTCGGTGTACAAAGTGGAACGTTATATTATAAAATTGAAATTCAATTTCGAACGTTTCGTTTCAATTTGAAATAAAAATCTTGGTTTGAATCGTGCGATATGACTTTAAAAATACCGCCATTCCAACCTTCGCTTTAGCAATTGAACACTGCGCGCGCAACTTTACCGGTGTCAAACTAATATGGCGTACGAACGTCATGCACATTGTCGCGACTTTTTTTTGTTCAACGAATCGAACAAACGATACGTTTGTTTCGACTTGTTTCGTATATGTACGTGCTCGAGCAACGCGTTCGCGATAACTTTTAAGTTTGTTAATAGTACGTTGAACAAATTAGAGGAGACAGCACATTATTTTATAGTATGCGGTATGTATTCACGTACAATCTTTACGAAGAAAATTGATATCGAAACGCTTATATCGTGAACAATAGCTAATTCAATAATAATTCGTAATACCTCTTAATCGTGCAAAGTATTATTAAGGATACGTTACAATTATCGTAACGTCGAATTAATTTCGAGAAGGAAAATTTCTATTCATTTTGATACAGTAGTTATATTATCTCGAAGCGTAATCGTCTCATCGTTTCGAATCACCAACATCTCGACGATAAATTGAACGTTATTTCAGAATATGTGGAAAATGATCTTCAACCATTCGTCTTGGGAAATCATCGATCGTTCGTCGAGGTGGGAAAAATGAATTTTTTTGCAGAAAATGGCGGATATTAATACAACAAGAGTAAGTAATATGATTTTCATTATAGAGTGCATAAAAGTGTGATTCGAAAAGTGTTTCCGAAAATCTAAAAATCGCCATGTTCGAATGCTTGATGCGTACATTCGTTCGTTCGTTCGTTCGTTCGTTCGTTCGTTCGTTCGTTCGTTCGCTTATTCGTCTTTCTCTCTCGTAAACGAGGATAGGACAAATGATGTAAATTTAATGATCCATGCATTCCTTCAAGGTTTTCAAACTCTAAGTAAAGAAAGTGTCGAAAGACAAAGTAACGACTTGAAACATATGTATAAATAACATTTCTATCACAGACGTACAGTTACATGTTGTCAGGCAATCGTTTGAAGGTTATGCATGACACATGATTCAATTTCGATTAAATAACGGTTTCAGCATGCAAATATCACGTTGCTTAACATACAATGGATCCATACGAATTACTTATTAAGGACTAATTGTAATTCCTCGGGGAATGCCGAAAATCTCCATTTTGGAAAGGATTCGCGTATTTCTGTCGTTATTAAATCGTCCTTGTTACCATAAAAAGTGCTTAATTGCGTAGGAAGTGGCATGTGTGTTAATTGGTTAATACGTCCTCGAAATAACAATAATCGGCAGAGAAGGGATTAGAATGGTACGTTCGCTTCCAAATTATATTTCGCGTTGAACTCTTAATCCTTTATTACGAATTAATTTTTTTAAATTGAAAATTACTGATTAATCGTTAAATTTTCGCGTTTGAATCTTGTTCGGCAATAAAAAATATAGTAGCGAATCGATGAAAGTCAGGACGTTTAGAAAAACGAATAACGGATAAGATCAATCGCATAGAAAACGAAGTGACAGATTCGATACAACGTGTCGCGAATAAATGTTACGTAACACACTGATATGAGACAGAATGTAATATTAAAAAAAAAAAAATTCAAACCGAATAGAAAGAAGAGATATCGATTATTTTTTTTCGTTGCTACAGAAAAATTTAATTCCGTAAATAATTGAAACACTCTGATTCAACAAAAAAAGAACGTTTAAAAATATTAACGCGTTCACTGGTCGGATAGCAAGAGAGTAAAGTGGTCTAGGATAAAATATACGGTAACTCACTGACCAACATCTACGATGTGCTGAAGCGTGGGGAATCGTCTCTTAACGCGCAACGAAATCCTTTGCAGCGTAATGACGTACGCGAGTACCGCGTACCTCACGATGTTTCTCCTCATCAGTCTGCCTCTTTCGTCCTGCAATGTGAAAATATTTTAAAATTATTTGTAACTGTCCGTTCGATCGTTCGCGAATCAAAATCGTTTCGCGTACGTATATTACGGCGGTGAATTGCACTCCGCGCAGAGGGAAAAGTAGGGGAGAAACGGAAGACGAAGGCGGCGGTATCGTCGAAGCTTCTCTCTGGGTAAAAGGACGAACGTTTTCTTTCGTTTCTCGTCCCGCCACGTCTCCCCCAAGGTCATCGAACAGCATTCTATTACGCGGATAATGGAATATTTATAAGCAGCGATCAAACGAATAAGTATAGAGAATGAAAGGAAATCGGTATCATCGATACGTGTTCGATACAAAATTCGTTTCCGAGGCCGCACGAATGCCGGACACGTTTCCCATGTCTTGTACACACTTTCCCCTTGTTCTTTTGGCCCGTGATCGCGAATCCGTCGGTCGGTTTCCAACCGATTCCAATATCGATCGAAAGAAAAACCCACGGTGGCGCCTGCCGGCTATTTTTCCTTTCGTTTTCTGGCAAACGACGCGCGCGCATTTTGTAATCGCGTACGCGTGGCCGTTTTGTAATCGAACGTCGATCACGCGTCGTCGGTAAACGATCGCGCACGCTCGACGGAATGTCAATTTAGTCGGAAATCGTAGGGAGGAACGGTTCCCGGTTCCCGAAAAATTTCCACGCACGATAAAATAATCGGCTCGTTCTAATGGGGAAAAAATGTAAAATCGATCGATCGTTTTCCGCCGCTTCGATCCACCGTTCGTCGAAACCGGCGGTAATCGTGTCGGTAATCGTTAATTGAATCGTTACGTATGTGGAACACGACGAGATTCGGATGAAGCGTTTTGTGGATCGAGGCACGTCTCGTTCGCTCGATATAATGCGCGCAACGATCGAAGAAAGTTTGTCGAAACTAAAATTTTCGTCCGGCTAATAACACGTGGACGGTGAACGGCGTACGGCGTGCGCCACGTGCTGATTTAGAACGAACCCGTTGCGATCTGTGCGAAGAAAGTTGGCGAACCGAGCCGTGCGATCCACCCAAACCCGCTAGAAAACGCGATTTACTTCTCGATAATTAAACCGTCTTTTCCTTGTTGCGCCCGTGTTTTCGACATCGTTCGTTTCCATTTTTCGACGATCGAATTACTCTTTCTTCGCTTCGTTGCTGTAATTACGAAATACGAATCGCAAATATAAACACGTCGATTATTATACACGCGTGTACACGAGCGATTAAGAAATTTATTTCTTTGCATTACTTTTCAAAATCTTTTCTCGCCGTCTACTTAAAAAACGTGAAAAAGAATGGGCTTACGTTGCGTTCCATAAAATCTCTCTCTCTCTCTCTCTTTCTCTTTTTTTTAAACGACTCACAATTACAGATTAATTAGTCTCGTATATAGATTCTTCCTATACGATTTGCCCGGAGCGATGCCACGTTATCGATCTCTCAAAGTATTTGAAACTCGCGCAAGAATCTCAAAGGTTAATCCGATTGCTGTAGACTCTAAACGAGCTCCTCGAGTTTTTTTCCTTTTTTCCTTTTTTTTTCTTTTACCTCGGTTGATCAATCCTCGCGATCTTCTCTCGGTAAATCGAAACGAGTAACGGTAAACAAAGACGGTAAAAGCTCGTAGCTTTCGTCTCGAGGGATCTTGTTTCTCCGGCGACGAAACCTTTTTCTCCCCCTCAACGGGTTTCGCCCGTTCAAAAGGCAGACGGTCCCTTCTTCCTCGGAATTCCGCGACTTAACGTCGCGCGTGTAAAAATGCACGGGTTGGCAGCTTGAAAAGGATCCTCCTGACGGGGAGGGAGAAGGTGGGAGTCGAGGCATCCTTCTCGCCTCGGGACCTGAATTCCAATTAGATTTCAATGAAAGGCAGAGCCCAGAAGCTCGTGCTGCCCACTCGGTGCTGCTCATTCACAAATCCGATACTCTTCCATCGCTCTCTTCCACATACGGAAAGAAAACTACCGTTTCGTGGTCTCGGGACCTTGCCCATTGATCGCGCCAACCTCTCCTATTGTTCCTATCGATCTCGCGCGAAAATCACGTGTGCCGTTCTCGAGGGGAAACTGTTCGCGCGAGGAATCTGTCGCTACTGGATACGGGAAACTCGTATCCAGTTCCGCGGTCGCCAGTTTCCAGCCGGGTTCCAAGCGCGCGAAAAAACTTTACGAAGAGTAACGAGGACGGACGTAACACTGTTGATCGCAAAGTGCGCGGAACGCGCAGGTTCGTCTTTCTTTCTTGCTACGATATGAACGTCGCACTTTCACTTCGACGTTGTGTCATTGACCACACGGTTGGAAGATCGTTCCCCGACGAATTCGAAACTCGTCTCTGATCGAATCGCATCGACCGTCGATTCTCGAGAATCGTGACTTGCCAATTTTCGCGAGCGAAAATTAGTTAACTGAAGAAATGTGTATTTGGTAACGAGTCGCAATTTTTTCATAAAAATGTATATATATATATATGGAACGTAATTATTGGAAAGGTGCGCGATGGTTGCTCGCTAGAAGGCTGGTTTAATTAGATAAGGATGAAGTAATACGCGGAACGATGGACGCGTACGGGTGTAGTTCGTAAGGAACGTAACTTTCGTTATCGGTATAGTATAGAGCAGGCGATCAGAGAAAGTAACGATAATGGGCGACAATTTCACGCGCTCGTACACGTGTGCCAGAGAAGTTGGAATCGCGTGCCAAGGGTCGGTCGAACAACCTCTCGAGAAACCTAGTCTATCGTCCCCGATCATCCGTTAGACCCTGATCGAGAGAAAGAAGAAGAAGAGGAAGACGAAGAAGAAAAAGAAGAAAAAGAAGAAGAAGAAGAAGAAGAAGAAGAAGATTCGCTCGACTGCCAATTATGGGATGATCATTCCGCGCATTTTTTTCGCTTCTAGGTGTGGCGTGACTCCAAGAGCTGGCACCTACTTAGGTTAACGACATCGAAACGTGTCACGGCAATTCATTAGCGTAATGAGACAAACGCAACGATCACCGGTATCCGTGCAAGGCTGCGTTTATCGCGTTTCTTTCGAGCGCCTCGGCTACTGGAAATTCCGTCTTCCCGAGTTACGATATATTTATTCGACGCATCGGGCGCGCCGATCGTCGAATCGATCTCGAACGATTGATTTTTGTATACTTACGTTACCAGGGATAGCCGCGCTGATGAAAAGGGCCAGGTTGTCGGGCCAGGGTAGTAGCTTGTACTGTTCCCACCACCGCTTCACCACCAGGCTCACGTAAAATCCCAACACGAACGACATCGGTATCGATTCGCTAGAATTGCCGAAGTAGTATCGGATCTTTTCGAAGATTCTGCAACAGACAGAAACCACACCGGCCACTCTTATCGCGTGTATGCATCGCCACCTGTCTCGAAAATTCTCGAGTGTTGGAGGGAGAAAGAAAGAAAGGATCGGGCGGGCAGGTTTTCGCGCGTTTGCGAATCGCGTTTAAATATTTGTTTAGCCAACGCGCGTGGTGGAATTCTTGCGCCGCCTCTCCAACAAGTGGAGCAAGGTTGAGGTGATACCGTCGCTCGGCCAGATCTACCGCTACCACGTCTCGCGTACCGGTAACTCCTGCTAAATGGGAATTTCCATCGAAATTTCACAGCTGCTCGCGAAAATTTGTTAGCGGTTCGGCGACGCGAGAACAG